GGACTACATATGTAACAAGCTAGGATTATATGATATATACTCACCAGCTTGAGAGGGAGTGTTAGTGTAGGGGTATTTCTGTCTTTATACTTATGTTGAGGTTGTTAATCTGTAATATTATATTAGAACTAGTGTCCCTCACTTAAGTAAGGGCACATGTGTCTTTTCCATTATGTTAGTAATATAGAACATGTCTGGCCGAATGGGAGAGGTGATTTTTTCCCTTATTCGAACCAGACTTTTCTTCTCTCCTTTTCTCCTCCTTTCTCTCTCTCTTTCCTTCTTCTTTCTTCTCTCTTCTTGGCTGTTATTGGACTAACAGAACTCAAAGGCAGGCCGAATCATAATAAAAGTAGTGATGTAATGTATAAGACTGACATTTTAAACAGGAAGAAGTCATTTCTCTCAATAAATAACTGTATACAGGGTTACAAAGATCAGATTTTTCTCTTGTGAATTGTGGTTCAATCTTGTGAAATGCAATCCCAAAGTAATTTCAATCTGGCTTAGTTGAACTGTAGATCACACAACAAATCTGCCCTGCCTTCAAGGTTCTAGGAACTAAGCAATAGAGTATGCACAAATTTCACTGACAAGAGCTGTGTCTGAGATGCTATACCCTTGCCATAAGCTTTCACTTCATGGGAACGAAACAGATAACTATTGACATCAATGTCACAAATATATTAGAAGCTGCCAGCATCAACAATGATTCGATTTCAGAGGAAGAGCTTACAATTAGTTGTGTAGTAACTTTCCATTTTCCAATAAAAAGTTGTTATAAAGAGTTAGGGATTGGAAATGAATTGGTTACAGAAACAAGAGGTCTTCTTTTGCAATCCAGACAATGGCGCATGGAAAGAGAGTGATGGGGATCATGAAGTGGTTCAGTGGGCAGAAGGGTTTTGGATTCATTACTCCTGAAGAGGGAGATCTCTTCGTTCACCAGTTGTCGATCAGATGTGATGGTTACCAGACCCTCTTGGAGAGTGAGCAGGTTGAGTTCATGATCAAGCAGGGTGAGGATGGATGGTCAAAAGCAGTAGACATGTCGGCACTGGGTGGAGGAAATGTCTTGGGAGGCGGTAGTAGAAGAGGGTTTTTTTTTGGTAGAAGGGCACGGTGGTCATGGTAGCTTTGACGGTGGTGGGTATGAAAGAAGGGAAAGGAGTGGCATCAGAGGAGGTAGGAGTGGAGGGTTTGGAGGTGATGCTGATGCTTTTTATAATTGTGGTCAACCTGGTCATCTTTCCAGGGATTGTAATCAGGGAAGCGGTGATGCGGGCTATGGTAGGGGTGGTTCTGCTGTTAACTGTGGTCAAATTGGACATCTTGCCAGGGATTGTGATCAGGGAAATGGTGGTAGTGTCAGCAGTTGGAGGTCAGGCAAAGGCAGAGCCGCAGAGGTTATCCAGGTGGTGGCGGGAGTTGCTTCAACTGTGGGGAGAAAGGGCATTTTGCAAGAGAGTGCCCCAACAATGATCAGAAAATGACCATCTGGTGATGGGTTTTGGGTTTGATAGCATTTTATAGTTTTACTTTGTTTTGCATTTTTTCTAAGCTTATGGGAACTGATGGATTTAGGGTAAATGCAAAGAGGAGGGATAATGTCATACCATGCAGTTCTGTCAAATTTTACTTCTTTTTGGATGACTATCTTTCCTGTTTTCTGGTAAAGTTTCAGAATTTGATATAGTGGGTAATTGTTTAAACGAAGATATATATATATGTATATATTCCTTCAAAAATAGCCACATATACAACTTCAAATTAATTGGAACAAGGGCTTTTCAGAGAACTATAAAGAAGAGGCAGATCAAGTCACATGAGGATCAACAAACAAGCTCAAATAAAATAGAAAATTATACCTCCTTCTCCACAGCCATTAGAAATCACTTTAATTATTTTCTCTATTAAAGAAAATGCTATGGCCAGGTCCCGTTGCCTTAAGAGTATGGTTTCAGCAGTGGTTGATGAACTCTTAGAAGCTTCATATTTCAAGTAGGCAATGTCATTGAGAAGAACAGCAACTTCAACCCTTGAAGACTCCAAGACAAGCAATAGGCACCTACAAATGAATGAGTCAAAAATTTCAAGTTACTTAGTATGGCAAAAGAAAACAATTGCGAAAAACTCCCATCCCTCACCTGTCAACTGGAAGAGGATTTTGCACATCAGGTACATTCTTCTGATCAATCAGCCAACCTTCTCCCAGCAAAGACATCATAGATTCCGCCAAAATAAGAGCCTGAAGCTTGTCAGAAGGAGCTGCACATTAAATTACAGATTTCAATAATATACCACATGCGACGCATATACTCTTTTCTCCTTCAAAGAATCATATAAATAGGATTGGTATTGTATGAGACAAAAAAGCAAACGAGGCACATCACTTCAAAATTGTGATGTCAACTAATCAATAACTTTTTCAATGCATTCTAACATTAAAGTCAAATCATATATCAGCAGCTCCTCCATTACAATGGTTAATGGCCTTTTTTTATTTCCAATACATGTTAACAAGCAATTACTTTTTGGATCAGCAAAAGATTTGTTTTATTAAATTAGTTATATGTGAAAACAGAACAATTTGATGACAAGAATGTCATCCCAAATATCATAAGCTAGATTACAAAGAAGCCCAATACAAATGCTGCCTTGCAGCCCCTTGTTTTTTTTTTTCCTTGTTTTTTTTATCAATAACAGAATTTCGTTTATTTAGAAGAAAATTACACAACAGAGTAGAGGTAACCCTTCTTAACTCAACTCGCCCAATTATACAAATTACAAATTACAATTGTGCCCAAAATGGTTGATTTCTTCCCATCCCTTGTTTTGCTAGGACATCAGCAAAAGCATTAGCAGTTCTTTAAACCCAACTGAACTTCACCTCCATATCTTGAACCAGCCACTTGAATTTCTTCTTCTCATCACTGAAGATCCAGAAACCACTTCCCTCCTTTGCAGACAATCCACTACCAGCTTTGAATCACCTTCTATAATCAGTTTTCTCACATTCATATCCTTTGCCTTTTGCACTCCTTCCATAACAGCCAAGATCTCAGATCTTAATGAGTCTCCCACACCAATGGACCTGAGAATAAACCAATAACTCTGCTTTCCTTATTCCTAAACACACCACCAGTACCAGAAGGACCTGGGTTACCTGAACTACTTCCATCAAAATTTAATTTGATATAATCATTAGCTGGTGGAGACCATAAAGGCCTCACATTGGCCTGATGGCAGTCTGAAGAAGCCACTTCCTTCCAGTTATTCATAATATCAACTGAAGAGAAGTCAGCAAATAGGCCCAAGTTTTCACCCAATAAACCACTCTAATGAGGATGGTCTCAATGGTTGCCTCTTTGCTTCTTTCCTTATCTGAAAAAATTCTGGAATTCTGTTCTTCCCAAATGGTCCAGCTCACCGAGGTCTTAAACATCTCAACAAGATTCTTCCTCTTTTCTTAGGCCACCTAAAGAAAGTATAGGTAAACATGGCTTTGCTAACGTGGCTCTAATTAAGGTGATTCTTCCTCCTAAAGAAATATAATTCCTTTTCCAGAGCACTAGTTTCTTTGCAAACCTTTCCACCACCAGTTTCCATAACCCATTAGACCTTGGGTCCCCCCCCCCAAGGTAAACCTAGGTAAGTGACAGACCGTTTTTTTTTTTTTATCAGTAAAGTGACAGACCAATTCCTTAACAAGAAAGTATTGCATAAAGACATTTGCATCTATTATCTAAGCCAAAACAAGAAAAGAACTCCGTCAATAATTCAATGGATGCCAATCTACACTCAATCAGTTAGCATCCACTATACTCCTCAAAAGTCAAAGATCATCCCCATTGATCCACATGGATCTCTAGTGCACAGCCACCCCAAACTTGCTTTATAGAGGAAACATGTCCCCATGAACCACATCATCTTCAACCTCCCCACAATCTAAGGATTGACTAGGATCCAAGGGAGCTAACCATCTCAAGTCTCCACACAAATATCGATTGCAGCACCCTTCAATCACAACATTCTGTTGGAATGAGTCCCATTGTCTGGGACTTTGATCCAGTCATTCAAGAGATATACCTTTCCTTTGGTGGCTTCTGCAACTCCAGCCTAACCCCCACAGAGGTCCCTTATCATTCTAAAAATGTTAAGGACACTTAATCCACTTAGGAGAGTTCATGCAATACTGGGAAAGACAAAAATTACAGAATTTCCACTACCACATCATCATCATCATCATCTAAGCCTTGTCCTAACTATGTGAGGTCAGCTACATGAATCCAGTTTCGCCATTCTGTTCTGTTCAGTGCCATATCCATCGTCAAATTATGGGCACTTAAATCATTTCTTACTACTTCCACCGAAGTCTTTTTCAGACTGCCCCAGCTCTTCTAGCCCCTTCAAATTGCAACTATCATATGAAAACTAAATTCCTAAACCAAAATATCTGATCACTTGGCTCCTGCATTAAGAAGGCCTTCATGAAGTTGAAGGGGAACATACTCGGTGGGATTAGAAATAATAAATTCCATATGTATGGCCCCTTCGTACCAAGCCCTGAATGAATGTTTCAAGGATATTAATTTCATATGTATGGCCCCTTCATGCCACAATATCATTCATCCATAAGCTCAAAAGTACCAGCATAAGGTGTTCTCACCCTACAGGTATAAGACCAGCTAGAGGTACTGTCCTCTTTTTTTTTTTTTTTTTTTGAGAGAAAGTATAATTTCATTGAAAACCAAAACAAGTATAACAAGCTGCTATACAAAAACGGGGGATACACAACCAACATCCAAACATTCCTAAATCCCCGCCCCCTTCTTTACAAAAAGATTGTCATATACAAAATAGGAATTGAAATTTCTTTCCCTACAAAGCTTGTTCATAGCCAGCCAGAAAAACAATTTCCCCAAGATTTTCTGAAATACTGAATCTACCGAGCTGCTTTTGTTTTTAAACATCCTTGCATTTCTATCCTGCCATATGCACCAAAAGACTACTGCAGGAGTAATATTCCATGCTGCCTTCCCCCTCTTGGTTAGACCAACAACTCTCCAACTTAGCAAGAAGTCTGCCACTGATTCTGGGCAGCAGGTTTGTACCTCAAACAAATCCCAGATCTTTGACCAATCTCATGGGCAAAAACACAGTCACATCAGATGGTTAACTGATTCGACATGCCCATCGCAAAGCAGACAATTATTAGACTCCAGCAGCATACCCCCCTGGTCAAGTTATCCCTGGTTAGGATTCTGTTAAGGTAGGGGATCCACACAAGAAAGCTACCTTTGAAGGCACATTTTTACACCATAAGATGCTTGTTGGAATGTCCTGCTCCTCTGAACTGGAAATGTGATTATAAAAAGATTTGACTGTAAAAGTTCCAGATTTATCCCACTTTCACATCCTTCTATCAGTGCTTCCTATCTCCATTTGAGTGGTACATAATTTGTGAAGCATTTCCACCTCCCAGTCATTTAGATATCTTCTGAATTGTGGAGTCCATACTACATTTCCATTCTGCACCTGTAGATGGTCTGTCACCCAAGCTTATTTGTCTATTGCTAACTCAAACAGGGAAGGGAAAGACTCTTTCAGAGGAAGGAATAACAGAATATTCTTAGAAAAGACTAGAACCACGGAGGAGGTGATTGACACAATCAAAGTTAAAGTAGCCCATTGGGTAAGTTCTTTGCATATATTCCAAGAGTTCTCAGTCACAGACATTATAAGATCCTGGACAGAAGTAGCACAATCTTCAAGAGTGAGAGAGAGTAAGGATGGAATGGAAACCGCCAGATGGTAACAG